CTCCTAGTTCGTTACAAGTTAAATATACCAAGACCATATTTCATGAATTTGAAACTTTATAATAAGTTGAGTTCCAAGTTGCGCTTCATGAAACATGGAAATGTTCAGATAGTGTTGAAACTTATTATGAGTAGAGCTTCTATGACGTTGAAGAACTTTTCTGGTGAAATTATTTATATAATCTGTATTTCACTTTTTTCAAAATGACGTTTTTTACAAATGTATAACGGAACTATGACTATGACGTCAAACATGCCACACACAAGCTTCCGATTTAATTTGAAAACGAACGTAAAAAATGTAAGAGATTGAAAATCGGAATTTTCTAAAAAATTCAATTCATCATTCTTCAGTAAGACGCCATCTGTGTAATTGACCGAAAAGTCAATCTACGAAAACCAAAGATGAACCGTCAACACCGTCAAAGGGGGTTCGTTGTGAAGTCAATCTTTGACAAATGACGTAAAAAATTGTACTCAGCCTCAATTACTGCCAAAACATTTGGGAAAAACAATTTCAACATCATTTTTTGGGTACACCACTAATTATAATATTTCTTTTTTATAAACATTTACGACATATATATTTATATTTTGATTGATACAACTAGTTTTCCTTTATTTTCAGTATTTTAATATCAACACTTGTTCACAAGAAGGATTTGAAACTTTAATAACTTCTAATTATTATAGCAGGCTGTGCTATCATCTTCATGGCTCTACTTAAACTGAATGTTTTATCTTCTTGTTTGTTCTTTTATACGCGCTCGCATATAATAATTAGGAAGTTATGGAAGCTTCAAATTCTTTTTGTGAACAAGTGATGATATTAAAATATTGAAAATATGCAAAAAGTTAGAAATGTTTCACGAGTTCGGCGATTTTCTGCTATCGAAACAAATGGATCGAAGAATTTGAATCAAATTTTGTGTAAAAAATAGAAATCATACTCAAAATACTTGGGATGTTGACAGTGGCATACGGTGATTTTACTCCGAGTCATAAAAGTGTTTACAAGTGGTACAAGCTTTTCACAGAAGGTCGAGAAGATGTGAATGATGACGCTCGCCGTGGATGCTTCTGCACATCAACAATCGAAAAAAATATCGAGGAAGTGAAGAAAAGTATTATGGGGAATCGTCGAATCACTATTATAGAAGCTGCTGGGGATGTAGGCATATCGATTGGCTCATGGCATGCAATTTTCTGGAAATTTTGGGCATGAAGCATGTGGCAGCGAAGTTCGTAAGTTCGTTCCAAAATTACTGAATTTTGACCAAAAAAACCCGTCGCATGAGCATCGCTCAGGAATTGTTGAATGACGTCATCGGCGATCCAGATTTGCTTAAAAGGGTTATAACTTGTGACGAATCATGGATATATAGTTATGACATCGAAACCAAAGTGCAATAGTCCCAAGAAATGACAGGAGAGACACGACCAATAAAAGCACGCCAAGTTCTATCAAGACCCAAGATGCTTTCTGGAGTAATTACTCGTATTTTATCAGTCATCAGCAATCACAAACAAGCAGTGTAAATCTACCAGCTATATTATGATTCACAAATATTTTGCTGGTAATAGAGAACACTTCACTGTATTCAATTGTTTCCATATACAGGGTGTGTCCTACCTACGGTACGAAACTTCAGAGGGTGATTCGTTAGGTTGTTTTGAGTAAAAAAGTTCTCATGAACATGTTCGAGTTGCTTCGTTTGTAAGATACACGGCGTTGAAGTTTAAAAAAACTGTATTTATAGAATATACTAAATATCCTTACACCAAATTGGTTGAAATTTGCTACCGTTATTTGAAATAATGAGGCGCTCATCAACCCCTTACTGGATTTAAATTATTAGGTCCAGTGGAGTCTCGGTGGGCACCACAATCAAACAATATTGGGGGAAAAAATACGCCACTGACTGTAGTTTTTTTTTAGATCAATCAACTAAAAACACAACTTGTTGGTCAATTGTGTTTTCTTCATATTTAGACACTTTGAAATCACTTCGCATGTCATGAACACATGACTAGCTGACTAGCTGACAGTGATAGCGTTATCATATCAGTGAAAGTTAGAGTTGTCAATTAGCAGTGATTCCATCATGAATAATTTTACTAACACTGGTCGATTCATACGATGGCACACAATAATAATTTTTTATCAAATATTTTATTTACGGACTAAGCAAATTTCTCACGAGATTCGCTGAACGTTTGGGTAGTAAGTTTGGTGAAGTGCCGGTACTTGTAAGAGGCAATATGTGGTTTTAGGCACTTTTAGCTCATTTTAGTGTTCTTGCTCGTCAGCATCTCGACATCACCCACCCTAATCGCTGGATTAGACGTTAAAGACCTCAAAATTGGCCGGCTCCCAGTCCTGATATGAATCCTCTAGATTTCCATTTGAGGGGTCATCTGAGGGCTCTTGTTTATAAAACTCCTATACTAGATGTGATTGACTTGAGGAATCGAATATTGCAATAGCATAAGAAATACTCCAGGTATTTTTGAACGTGTCAGACAATCAATGACAAATCAATTGCAGTCGTGTATTTTATTAGAAAGTGGACATTTTGCTCATTTACTCTGAGGTCGAAAGTGTTTATCATTTACTTTTGGTTTTAGTGGCGTTCTTTTTATTCTCAATATTGTTGGCTGTGGTACCCACTTAGACGCCACTGGACATGATAATTTCAATCTAGTTCGGGGTAAGTACGCGATTTCAAAAAACTGTAGCAAATTTCAATCAAATCGGTGTAAAGATATTTATGATATTTTCTGAATAGGTACCGTTTTTTTAAACTGCAACGCCCTGTATCTCAGAAACGAAGCAACTCCGGACATATGTTTATAGAAACTTTTTTTCTTAAAACGCCTCAACGAATCACCCTCTGAAGTTTCGTATCGTAGTTATGAAACACCCTGTGTATCAACAGTAACTGGACCGAGAACAGGACTGACTGATTCATCACTGAACGCACCATAACAGTAAATATCTCCGATTAACTCAGGATGTATAAACATCTGAAGAAGCTTGTCACTAGCGCCAGCGAAACGTCAGGATTAAATTCCAAAAATCTACTTCAAACCAGTTCAAACCCAGAAAATAGTGACACTGAAAATCACCGTCGTGAAAGCCGTAACCATTTGGTCCAATACTGAATGATACATCATAGGAAAACATATAATTATCAAATGTTTCCTTTCCAGATGGTTGTTGGTCCTTCATCTTCAAGTGATATGCACCAAATGAAAAGTTTCGAAAAAAAAAAACAATATTTATATAAATTTCCAAATGATAACTCTCTGAAAAATAATAAGATCAAATTGAATACTTGAATTGTTGTTCAATAATGCGATACCCTAATCCTAGAAAAAGCTGGTTATGAATTATTTTTGGTGTGAGTAAACAGGTTCTTAACGAATCCGACACCTTAACAATTTCAGTTTTATAAAAATTAACTACATTTACTGAATAACCCCTGAGAAAATAGTTCAACGGTGTTAAATCAGGTGACCTTGCTAGCCATTCAACAGGTTCCCGTCTCCCAATCCACCAACCACGAACTATTTGTTAGAGGCGTACCCGAACTGGACGTGCATAATGTAGAGGCGCACCTTCTCACTGTTACCAAATTCTGTGATCAGGTGACCTTCTGCTTTCGAAGAAGGAAGTTCAGGTACTGTCCAGCGTTCTTTCAGCCTAGTCAGTAGAGAACCTACTATAATGTTTTGATGATATGCATTATGTATTTCCATCATCCAATGCGGATTTAAAACCAATTGATAATAGCAACTTTATTTATTGAAAGTACCATTAAAAAAAATGTCCGTCATCACAACGTCATGAACGGATGAAATCCAGCGAAGAGGTCTGAAAACGTACCGAAATATTAAGTAACCTACAAGAATGTTGAATGAGGATATTCTTTCACAAATTGAAAGCCATCTAATTATTTGTTTGCATCCAAGACAGTTGGACAACCGACCCCAGGCAATTTGGATGAGTTCATTGAACAAACATCGAACTCTTTCACACGTTCAACCTTCATTTTCAAAACCACATCATCATTAATATTTTCGAGAAAATTTCAATTCTTTCCATTTCAATAATTCACATTTTTCACTATTTTAATGTAATTAATAGACTAAAACCACTGACATACTTGAGTAATGATCAAGTGGTAATCGTTTCTACAACACTACTAGTTACTTTGAAAGGTGATTTGCCAATTAAAAAGTTGGGGGAGCTGATAAAGGGTAATGGTGAAGGAATGGGGGTTGGATGCCTAAATTACAATTTCATAATGAAAATGGACAGTTTTTGTTAACTAAAACGACTTTTCTATCTTCTGCAACAAGTTCTTGATGTACAATGAAGGATTGGAGACAGATACCATTTATAATAAACTTTCTTAAAGAAAGTTGGAAATCCATAAAGAAAAATCCTCAGGTAAGCCCAAAAATTGAAGTTCAGTTGCATACATCAATAATAGCAGCTCGAGACTTGCTGTGTTTCTCAACTAGTTTTTTTCAAAGATCATGGATAACAAAAAAAAAGAATCAATTATTGATTGAGGAAAGGAACTAATCGCCTGAAAAGTTAAAGCATTCAAAATACTTGAAAACACATTGATTTCTTTCTAATTTTTGATATATTTGACAGTAAAGTCTACTAGTAATTTGGAAGATTTTTGCTTACCTATTATAGGAATTGGCTAAACTTGAGCAATATTTCAATATTAAAGAAGATAACAGATAATATATTGTCAGTGTATAATTAACAATAAATAATTATACACTGACGATGTCAATCTTGTTTGCGAAACATACAATGAGAATGGTGTATCTACAGTTTTGTTAGGTAGCTTCTAGTTTGCAAAAAACAAATGCATATACAAAGTGTATGTGTTTGGAAGAACAATCCCCACCTTTACCTCTCCTAAAAAAAACACCTGTAGTCACGCCCACCGACGACACCCCAAAAACAAAACAAACCTGTATGTGTGCGAAGATGTGCCTTCAAGTGCGAGCTCTTCCCGTAGACCTTGTGGCACCCATCATAGGAACACTTGTGGGTCTTCCTGACCTGTGTACCCACCCGAGGAGAAGGTTGCGCCCTGGGAACTCCAGCGGACTTTTTGGAAGGCGGCACTAAGTCCACTTTGCGATGATTTTTCGGCGGCGGGGCCGGAACTTTAACGACACTCTTGACGTTACCCCCTTCGTCGGGGGGCTCCTCGTCGATGGTCAGATTCCCCTCGCCGTCAGACGGAACCTCGGGCACGGGTTCCTGTTTGATCCTCGTCAGGTCCGTGAGGATCCTGGCGACCATGTACGAGGAGGATTCAGAGGGGGCGGCGGCAGCGCTGACGGGGGGGATGTGCTCCACTATGACGGCCGGACCGGGAGGATTCGCGAACACCATCTCTTTGACGAGCGATTTGGAGAGATCCAGGGGGCGGTTTAGATGGTCCTTGCTGTGAGACATCTCCAGAAGGCACTGGGCCGCGAAGTTGATATCGTCCATGGTGAGAAAAAAATTTTAGGAAGCACGAAAACGAATCTGTCACTTGTCACTATCACTGAGAACGTTCACCACGACAGCATCCTCGACGATGTTCACGTAGGCCCAAAGAGAGACAATATGCTCATCTCCGTGGGAGGCGTGTTTCCACTACGTTCGAACTAGCGAGAGCAGGCGCGTCGGAGAATACTCGACGTAGACGTTAGCGAATACACTTTCCGACTGTGGCAGAGTTTTGTTTCCCCGCCGCTCGATCCCTGCCCGTATCGCTTGCTCTCTCTCCCCCAGGTTTTCGCGACGCGTTTTATTTTGTTCCTCCTCGAAAAAAATGTTATTATTCCCGCACCTGATGTCGATCGCACGGTGAGGGTAAGTAAAGTGTTTCCGGAGATATATGGAATTGACAATTTAAATCTGAATGATGTTACCTCTTCTGGGAGCTTAAGGAAAATATTGGAAAAAGGTAACAAGTTGCTAAGAACAGTTAATATATCTTGAGAGCAAGTTGTTTTTATTGAAAATCATGAAATGAAATTCTAATATGATATTTGAAATCCCTGAAAGAATCGAAAAATTGAATACTTTCGGCCATAACGTGAGCTGCTGTGACAAAACTCTTCAGAATTGTATAAAGAAACTAGGATTTAGATTTACAATAATAAACAAATGTCAAGCAGTTATAGAAAGCAGAAGAATAATGGAATTGCGTAACAAATACTCAGAACAAATAACTAAATATAGACAGTTACGAAAGAGTGGACTGATGGTTCCAGAATGTGGACGCCTAACATGCCTGCAAACTAAGGATTGCGACTAATCATTGTGCTTTGCGGAGGAATCAAAGGATGGGTTCCACATTCTTTGAAATTATGTGGAAAAAACTTGTGGCCTGCAGTGTTGACTATCATAAGAACATAAAAGCGAATACTTTCGAGGAATGGTTTGAAAACACAATGATCCCAAATTTAGATGCGAATAGTGTAATAATTCTTAACAACGCTTCCTAACGTTCGCGACAGTACCGAAAAAAAATCGAGGAAAGATTAAGTATTAAAGTTTTATAATGGATAACAATTTGTATTTTAAAGATTACTACAGACAAAAACATTTGAAAAAGTGTATGCCCTTGAGAGTATTGCTGAAAAGTATGGACATACTGAGACTTCCCCACGAAATTAGTTAGCTCCCTCACTATATTATTAAAAGGGAGCTGTTGGAAGGTAGGGTACACTATATCGTTTACTTGAACTATACCTACTACCAATAGTATTTAAAGACATGTAACATAAAAGTTAACCGACAATCGAACACAATACCCAGATCACTTGTTATTCTTCGATTGTTTCTGTGTTACCAACTATTACAAGAAAGAGGTCTCATTTCAACCCACCCCTACGGTAAGCCACTGGAACTAGATACCTGCTTTAAAATCCGATTCCGTACCAATTAACATCCATTATTCGTAGTGAATCGAACGACAAATGGCCTATAATTGAGTGTTTGTTGACGTTGCGACGAGTCCTGTTCTGTTATCGATGCGAAATTGCCAAAGTGAGTCTTCTCCGACATGGTATTCACCATCATCAACTATGTTTACGTTGTGTTTTTTGGTGTTGTGATGTGTGCCCCTGCGATAAATAAGGATGGCGAGGTATGTGTCGTATCTTATACGACAAATTCTATTGGTTCAGATCCCAGTTCAAATCTGTCATATACGGATGTTTTGAAGTGGCGCCCCCAAATTTTTTTTCTGATTCATTGTATTATAGCTGTGATAAACAAGACATATAATGTTGTTTTGGGATAGCAAAGTAGCATGTAATTATGTATTTATACTAAAATTGGCAGTCATATTATATACTTTGATAAATACAACACAACTTTTGAAATGTCCTAATTTGAAATCAGTAACAGTTGAAAGATAAAACATGTGAAAGAATTTAACCACCTCATTATGTCTAAATGTTACCTCATTTCGAATAATTCCAAATTTCATTTGGAAACATTAGCACACTCAGTGGGGTTCAGTAGTTTTATTATTATAACATAAACCTATATACTGATTTAAAAAATATTTTTCTTCTGTTCTTTTGTTTTGTAATATTGTTTCTATATATTTCATGTTACCGATTTGATACATAATATAATAATATAAATAATTGCAAATCCACTGAGGGTTTAACCCTAGGTGTGATTAAATAAACAAATACGAAAAATAAAATAATGTTACATATAACACAATCACAATTACTCACATAAAACCATAGTGAAAAATATTAATGTCATACATTCCCGTACTAATAGAGAAAATCAAAGGTTATGAAATAGTTAAGAAACAAACAAACACATACAGACAGCTTACAGAAGTTCATACTTCTTTGTGAGGGTAAGAAATAATAAAGTTTTACACATTATACACAGGTATTAATAAACTCAGGAGATACAAATATTGACTAACTTTATAATAGAAAATAGAATAATATACATATATAGAGTACAAGGCAGAGAAGGTCAAGTTCATATTTTAGTAGTGTGAGATTCAAATTTCATGAATTACAACTGTTTCTTTTCTTTTGCCTTATGTTATTGAATTAAATTAAATTATGGGCACTCTCTCTAGATAATTTACTTACCTTTTTATTGAAAATTTATTAACTCCTTTCCTATCATTCACATAAGAAATTCTAGAACTCGGAATACTTGGAATAACTTTCTCAATTGAATTCTGAATAAGAATTTGATCTCTGTCTGTTTTCTCAAATCCATGAATGAATTTCAAAATGAAAATTCAATGTTTTTCGAAATCGAAGGACGATTTTTGTATACATAGTAGTTATAATAGATGTTGATTATTTGACTTGGTGTGAAATCTTCTCAGCAGAGGTAGCCATTTTTGATCGAAATCAACTGAACATAATGTCATATCGAATTTTGTTTCAATCAGAGACGTAAAATTATCCTCGGTATATTTTTACACAAAACTCTTTGCTAAGTTTCTTGCCGATTTATGGAAGGGGGCACAAATTCTTTTTCACTACTTCGGAGCCGCCTGACTTGTATATTTCTTTCAAATCTCTACAAAAAACTACATACATTGCGTTTTTCTCCCATCTCTTGATGACACACATTGCAAAAAATCTGTTTCTTATATCTACTAATTACTATAGGTCATTTATTGATCCTTATAGCCTCATATAATCATAATACATGACGAATTGTCTGTTTCTTTATTCCATTGTCTGCATCTAGGAACTTCGTAATTAAGATGTGCTCTAAATCGACAATATCTAGTAAGTAGCCAATGGTTTTTCACGGGTTTCCTATAAATTTGTCGAGATGGATTTTTTCAGTAGCCTTTTTTTTTCTGTCTAATTTCCAATTTTGATCCCGTTTTATGGATTTTGGTATCCCTGCAACTGGTTCATTCGGAACTGATGATCAGTTTTGTAGTTGCTTATTATTCCTGAGAGTTCAGACACCCAGTATAGATTCAATCTATCCTAATCTACCAGTTTCCTCACAAGAGAACAGAACTAGTTCCTAAACAATTATCCAGCGTAGGTAAATTTTCATTCAATTCATATATTTTTTTTGAAACATACTCCAGATTTTGTAATAAAAACTGGTTACTGACAAGTTAGGTAGGTCGTCTCTATCTGAATTGAATTCAAACCAGTAACAAGTTCTGGACAAATGTAGTAACTTTCCCTTCATATTTGACTCATTTCGTTTAGAAAATGAAAATGTCAAAAATTACTCGAGTACCTCCTCAAATAACATTCAAACAATATTTGACCCGGCCTTCACCATTGTGTACACTCTGAGATTAAAGTATATTTTTCTGTATGGCTATTTCGAAGAAACTTGTAAGCCTCTTAATAGTCGCAAACCTCACCACAAGATAGTATGTAGACGAGAGTATAATTCTTGCAAATCAACCAAACTTGTTAACAGACGAAACCAAGGAGAGTTAGAAAATCCGAAAAAAAAATTATATAGAGAAGTGAATACGACCAAAACAATATTGGAAGAAGTATATTAGTTCATTAGTAATGGAGAACATTATATGAACAAGGAAACAAACTTAAAAAACACCAGCAAAATTTATGTATTACTACTGCTACATTACTATAAAATGAGAAATATAATTAATTACTCGTTTTTGAAACTTTTGTAACTTGACACTTCCTTTTATTCTAAATGAAAATTCATATATTATATATGATGGAATTATAAAGTTTTTATATATTATGTTTTTCTGTTGTTTATTATTTTTTCATTCAATTTTTCATTAGTGACTGTTCCATATTTATGTTTTCACAAGATATATGTTGTTTCGTAGTCTATTCGAGTATATAACATATACTTCTGAAATAAAGTTATTTGTGTCAAAGAGGAATCAGAGTTTTTATTGATCTTTTCTGGGATTATTCACTTTCCAAAATCTGAGAAAATTAATATTAAAACTGGAGAATTTTATACAGATGTAAAAATGTCAGAAATCTATATTCTGTTTCTCAATAGTAAAGTAATAAATGCTCAACATAAATGCAAAATGCTCAGTGCTCAAACAAAATTTTGTAATTGTATTATGATTTGCCACAGCTTGTATAGACGGTTTTATACTACTTTCCAATTTCCTTCAAGCTGATAAAATGATGACTGAAGAATACAGTATGATTGAAGAATGAAACTGAAAGATAAATCTTTCTACAGACATTCACGAATACTTTGATAATATAATTATGATTGACGCACTTCACACTAATTCACATAACCTCACGAAAGTAAGACTACATTCCTCCAATTCAAACTCCTCTTTAAATACCAACAATGTATATATGACATCCAGAAATCTCAAGTTATTTGTATAACAAGATATTATCGATTCTAATGGAAAAATTATCATGTATTTCAATGAAATCTAAAAGAATACGCGACGTATTGGTGGTGGATCTAGCCGCGTCAAGTGGATTGCCTAGTATTGACAAATACGAGTCTAGTCATTTACGTAGTCTGTCCATTTATTTTAATATTATACTTCAAAACAGATGTTCTTGCTGAAATTTTCCGTTATTCTGGTAATAAAATTAATTTTACTCGAGAATTGATATCTTATATCGATGTATTCAGGATCAGGAAATAATTTTCACGAATATCACTCGATCAAAAAATGTTCTCAAATGAATTCCCATTTTTCAACTCAAACTTTATTATTTTTGAGCGTTTTCAATCAAACAACCAGCAAATGTTTTATTATTTTTTACTGTGAGATACATACGGCTTCACGTCCAAATAAAAATTTAATCTCCCTTGACTTCTATGCCATAATAGAGTGAAAAGTACTATTTTATAATTTCATAGTATACTGACGGTAGTTAACATCAGCTAGTATACGGAATTTACATTAAAACTTTGTTTTGTAACGCCACTGAGATTTTGTCTGCCAGAGAGTAAATGACAACTTCATACAGGTAGATATACTTCAAACAGAAAAATTATGTATGCAATCGATCGGGATCAAAGTTGAAAAACAACAATGAAATCAATTGAAAAATTACATCACAAAACAGGTAATTCCTTTCATAGTTTTCCTGAAGTCATCTAAGGTTACACATAATCCCCAATAAATTAATCCTTCTGAAAGTACCTCTCACACAAGGGGGTTACTTCGAATCCTCATCCGAATCGAACTAATTAAAATCAATCCCCTCAGGTATACTGCCAGGAATTGCCCATAATGGTATTAGAAGAAACGCTGGGGGCTGCCTACAATCCAAGATACATGAGCATTGACGAGCCGGCAAAGACAGTGACATCCAGCGATAACCGCAAAAGGACTACCAAAGAAGTTTTGGACTTCTACGTCGATCAGGACTTTAGCGAAACGATCGAGGATGGACCGGCGTGGATGATCAAAAATCACGTCGGGCTGACGATGGGAGGTTTTAGCCACAAAAGGTATGTAGAAAAATGATGCTGATTATTTAGGAAGGGTTAAAAATGAAGCTACGATGTATCCGATGTACAGTCTTCTTGAAGATGAGGTCCTGTCGCGATAAATGAGGATGTTGACTATCCGACGGAGTTTTAGCTGGAGAGATGGTTGACAGAACATTTGAAAACGTTCGATAAACAGGCATAGAATTAACGACGTGTCGTTTTGAAACAGGTGCGAACGTAAAAAACCCCCCCCTCTCAACTTTTTAACGGTACTAGTTATCAAAGTCGGGTACAATTTACCTAAAAAGCTATCGTTTTCACTACTTTTTAATGAAGAAGTCGACAATAGTGTTTGCATCACTGGTCGCCAAGAGGGAGCAACCAAATTATTTTTAATAAAAATAGGATTCAGTATCATAGGTTTTTGAATTATCTATTCATCACTGGTCTAATTTCATAATTCATATCAGCCGTTCCTGGATAATAGGCAGTTCTATTTTCGATCTAAGAATCTGGAAACGAACGATTATGGCAATTTCAATAACAATTTTTAAACTCACGCCAGTTCAACGCGACTGTTCAGCATTCACTTCCTATGGAATATTTCGTCATTCTATACTTGAGTTCTAGAATTGAAGTTTCAGGTATCCCCACAAAAAATTCGAGTCCTTCATATCAGGTGATTTAGCGGGCCACTATAAACACCGATACATACAGAACGGACGTCAAGCGGACTTGTATCTTACATAGAAGCAAAATGGCACTCGCTTTAATGTGAATCTTATCACTTGTTGAGAAATTGTGAAAAAAACATAAGTCGGCTCCACGTCTCCACAGTTATTTCTGTGTGAATTGACCCTAAGCGATTACACCTGCTTATCCACCAGTTGGGATAATTTTAGCCAGTATAAGATAGACAGCTGAGTTATGACAAGACCCCATTTCAATATGAGAAAAATAGTTGGTGGTGTCTTGTCGGTGACCTGACACTATGATCTTCATCGACAAAAAGCACTAAAATTTATACCTTTTCACGTAATTTTCCGGCCTTGAAATCTTGTACCATCCAATACTCAAAATAAACTACTACACTAAATTCGCCAAGCTTCCTAGGTACTGGTCAAAATTGTTTTTAATGCTAACTGGTCTCATTTTGTGGAAAATTACACACCTATAATTTTGAACCAATCAAAATACGTTATTTTGACAAATCATCATGGCAAAAGAGGTATTTTAGTGAAAATTTTTTTCTCGTGGGATACCTAACAGCGAACTATACTGGAAATTTTTTTGACCAAACTGTCAAAATATAATGATCACAGCCTCCTATGATTAATGCTTGCTGACGCTGGTTATGAATTCCATACCTTTAAAGCGCGCTGGTTATGAATTCCATACCTTTAAAGCGCGCGTAACCCACATTAATAAAACGCAAAATGAAAACAAGTTTCTACCACTTGTAGTTACTCAAAACCTATGTAAAATTGAAGAATATACTATTTTCTATTTTGAAATGGTATTCCCGTGCAACTACAATGAGTAGAAATTACCAATTTGAAGGCCTATCATCGCGAACAGGAGTCCGATGAGCCAAATGCTGTAAATGGCCCCAAATAGAGAAATCGAGAAGATTGAGATCCGGGGATCGAGCGGGCCAGTTCTGTGGTCCTCCTCGACCTATCCGCTGATTTGCATATGTTTCAGTTAAATGCTGACGTGCTACTTGACTAAATTGGGCGGAAGCCCCATCATGCATAAAAAACTGGATGCACTTCTCTTAAAAATTGAACGTATGCCTCACCATTTAATCGAGGAGGTAGAAAATGAGGCCCAATTAAATTACAACCATGTGGTAAACCAAATGAATTTCTGGCTAAGTGTCTTTTTGGTAGTACAAAACGTAACTTTTGTAACTTTTTTAGTGCTTGTGAAAAAACGTATACAAATTTTATGTACCCCCTTTAAGGGGCTGTATCTTAACAAGGGATGCTCCAATGAAATTTCTTCATATGAAAGATCCTATCTTTTTTTCGATGAGGAATCACCTCCTGTAACTCGCCACCAGATGGCGCTGTAGAACAATTTTATGGAAGCACTGTTCTATAACGCTGTGCACGCCTAAGTTCGTTGATTCTGAATCTGTCAAAATATTGGAACATCAGCGATAAAGCAACATAGTACTAGTTTAAAATAAATAAATCGACGCAGTTCTCGGTAAGTCTCACCCCCTATATTGACGATTCAAATCCAACTTAAATTTCGTACATGCACCGCTCTTGAAGCATCTGAGAATTTTTTGCAATGATTATGCACTGTAATAAACGCTGAAAATGTTCAAAGGTAATCCACACCAAATAAAAAATGGCCACTGTCCTCCAAAATCTATATACTCCGAGATAGCCTGTAGAAAAAAAATCTGAATGAGAAATAACTATAGCGCGAAGCTCCGACTACTTTCTGAGTCGTAAAGCGGGAAAATATGAAACAAAGGACGTTCAATATTGAAGCGAGAGTTTTCCAAGCGGCTGGATGATAAGAGAAAATTTACCCGTCATCGTGCTGTCTGTCGGATTTTTTGGAGCCGCTACCCTACGACAGAATGATTGATATTTTGTCGGTTCCTAGTGTCCGACATCGATCATTTTTCCTTGAACTTTTTGACCCATTTGTTACGAACTCCAATAGTGAGTAGGTATGACCCAGATAGATGAAAATTACAAAATTGAGTACGCTACGAAATTTCACAGGGTGATTCGTTTGGTCGTTTCAAAAAAAAAAGTTCCTATAAACATATGTCCGGAGTTGTTTCGTTTCTGAGATTCAGGGCCCTGAACTTTAAAAAAAGGTATTTATAAAATATCATTGAATCCTTACACCGATTTGGTTGAAATTTGCTACAGCTATTTAACCCTAACTAGACTTAAATTATCAACGCCACTGACTTTTTTGTAGTTTTGATTTTTTTTGAATTAAGCAACTAAAAATACAACTTTTCTTCATATCAAGCTTCGTTTTCGGGAAAAAAATCACTTCTAAAAACTAACCGTGGACAACATTGAATGAAAAGCAAAAGTGAATTTTGACGTGAAAGTAAATGAGCGTAATGTTCACCTTCTGATAAAATACACTGCTGCAATTGATTTGTCCTTGATTGTCTGACACGTTCAAAAATACCTGGAGTATTCCTTATGACATGGCAATTGTCAATTATTCGATTTCTCAAGTCATTCACATCTAATACAAGAGTCTTATAAACAAGAACCTTCAGATGGCTCCTCAAATAGAAATGTATAGGATTCATATCAGGAGTGCGAGCTGGCCAATTTTGAGGTCCTGCACGTTAAATCCAGCCATTAGAGTAGGTCATGTCAAGATGCTGACGAGCAAGAACACTAAAATGAGCTGGAGCCCCCTCGTGCATAAACCATATGTTGTAGAAGAACTCAATGAGAAGGGCGTGTCATCAGCAAACTGTACAGTACAATGTTGTTGATTAATATTAGAGATGTCGTTACGAATAAGAGAAAGAGGGTAGGACCCAGGACACTACCTTGGGGAACACCTGTTGAGATGTTACGATTTTCAAAATGGTATATTCCAAATTTGAGCCTAACCTTAACAGATTGTGATCTGCCAGTCAGGTAAGTCTCAATCCATTTTAGACTTAGGCCGCGAACTTTAAGTATCTTAAAGTTTATCGAGGAGAAGTTGATGGTTCATGGTATCAAATGCACGTGACAAATCAAATAGAATACTGATCGATTTTTCGCCATTTTTAAATTTGGATAAAACATGATTGACCAGAAAAAGAGTAACATCTTGGGTGGCTCTTTACGAGTAGGTTATACTTTTTACAAAAGGATACAAGTCTATTGAGATAGGATTTTTCGAAAATTTTTGAAAATAAAGACAGCATTGCAATGTCTCTGTGGTTGGAGATTAAGTGCTTATCATTTTTCTTGTGAACAGGAACTACAATAGCATGTTTAAGACACGAGGGAAATGAACCTTCAAGGAAAGAGAAATTAAGTAGGTATGTAAGTGGTTCAATGATTAGTTCAGCAACATTCAACAATACTCTGCCTGGTAATTCATCAATGCCACTAGAGTTCTTAGACAATATGGACTTGATGATAAATTCAGTTTCGTCTAAAGGATGAGAAAAAAAGAGTTTGTTTTTATATCGTGATGATGTTCACCAGCAGGCTCAGAATCATTGATTAGAGAATTTAGAGAGTCAATGAAATCATTAAAGACTTGAGGAATAACAGTACCACTACGAACCCGAGTTCCATCATCAGTTCCAAAATAATTCGGAAAACAATTGCTCATATTATTGGATGTTGTATTCTGTTTAATTATACTCCAGGCAACTTTGGATTTGTTATCAGCTACAAGAAATTTGTTACTGAAATACTCTTTTTTGAATGGTCAATTTTTTTTCTATGATTCTTCAACATCATTTTGTATTGCTCATTAACGATTTCATCACATTGAGTTCTGTTCAGATTGAAAACATCACGAAGAAGTATACCTTCATTGATGATTTCCTTGGTGATCCAGGGTTTGCCTTTAGGAAGGTGGGTGTTGCTGATTTTTCGTAAAACAGGCGGAAATGCGTTGTCAAATAGATTGAGGAATAAGGAGTAGAATTTGGAAAATTTAGTGTCAAACTCGATGTTATTGAGATATACGAAGTCCGAAAATTCACACGACAATAAGGTTTTGAAATAATTAATGTTTTGGTCATTGAACGTTCGTTTGAGAGTGTAATGTGGCTCATCAATAGAGCAAGATTCAAATGAAGGTTTAATAATTTGGAGTGCATGGTCAGCAAAATCAGGATGAATGAAAATAGGGGGAATTTGGCTAGTGGTGGATGAGAAAATATTATCGACTGTTGACATACTGCTTCCCTGTATTCTTGTGTAGTCAAAAATACGTTGATTTAATCCATATGAAGCGAGAAGATTGCGAAGGTACTTTGCGTTTCTGTCATTGGAATTTAGGTGAAAGAT